ATGTAGGTGGGAGTAGGATGTTAGGAGCCAGATGGAAGCATTGGCATGAACAGTGTATCATCCAGAGAATTCAGGAGAGGTGGATAGGAGATTATGGACCTTACAAAAGTTTCAAAGCAAACTCAGTAAGACTAGGAGGGGGAAAAAAAAAGATTGAATCAAATATGACCTAGATGTCTGGAGCTTGGAGGTATTATTAATAGAACTAAAAAGTGGTGAGAACAGTAGAGTTCAGATTAGAGGGAGGTAAATTCACTTGGGCCATGCTCACTTTGAGACTCCAGTGGCATACTGGAGTGAATATATTCATGAGGGAGTTGGAAAAGTCATGTCTGGGGTGTGGGAGGTAGATCAGAGTCAAGGGAGGATTTTGGAATTATATACTCTTATGACTTTTTCTTCTCTCTCCCACTATTCCTTATGTTTCTTTTCTAGTCTTTTTTTGTCTTTGAATCTGTTGTTGACACTTGTTATCTCTCTCTCTCTAGTTATTCTTTGAGTTACAGCAATGATAATAGCGATAGTAATAATAATTAGTAATGATAATAACCAACAGCTATCACTCATGAAGTGACTGTTACATTTCAGGCAAGGAATAACTGCTTTCTGCTTGTCTTTTTTCCTTCCTTCCACAGGAACATTCTTTCAGTGTACCTCCCATTACCTGGCCTCTTTAATTTCTCAGAAAAAAATGCTTTTATTTTTAGAGTTGCTTTTCTCATTTAATTTTTATATAGCAACCACATAAGGTCAAAAACTTTTTTTTTCCATTTTCATATGAGAAAATAGAGGTCAAAGATGTTAAATTAGTTTCTGTGGCCTTTGACTCAGGACACAGACAATACTCTCAGGTTCATCACACTGAGATGATTCTCTTTTCACTAGGACAGCGGTAGACAAATCACCGTCTGGAGGCAGAATCTGACCTTCTATTTGTTTTTCTATAGCCTAAGAGGTAAGAGCAGTTTTTGCACTTTTAAATGGTTGGGGGGAAAAAATCAAAGTATAATATTTGTAGCATGAGAAAATCGTGGGAAATTCAGTTCTCAGTGTTCATTATCAAAATTGTATTGTGACACAGGCTGGCTTGTTTATGTATCATCTGTGGCTGCTTTTGCTCTGCAATGGCAGAGTTGACTAGAAGAAATCAAGACTCTATGGCACAGAAATCCAAAAGTGGTTGCTATCTGGTTGCTATCCTGTGGGTATTCCCTAGGGTTTATGGGTTGAAATTTAATCTCTGCTGTAAGGTATTAAAAAAAAATAGAAATTTAATCTAATAATGGGGTTTGGAGGTGGGACTTTGAGAGACTGTTAGTGTTTTATTCACTGCTGTGACTGGAAGATCTAACCAGAACAATCATAGAGGAGGAAAAGTTTACTTAAGGCTTCATAGTTTCAGAGGTCTTAGTCCATAGAAGGCTGGCTCCATTCCTCAGGGTTGGAGGTGAAGCAGAATATTATGGCAGAAGAGTGTGGCCTGATCATCACATGATTGGGTTAAGGCTCTCAAAACCCAAATATTTCTTTTCTGAATTTTCTTGTATTGTCTTACACATAACCCTTTGTGGGACACCTCACATCCAAACCATAACAGTTGGGATTAGATAAGGTCATCAGCATAGAACCTCTATGATTGAGTACTGTTGGCTTTGGAAAAAGATTAGAGGAGACACATACATATACACACCCACATTCTCTGTCTCTTGCTAGGTGCTACCCTGTGTCTCCTGGAGATACTGTGAACAAGGTCATCACCAGATGCAGTCCCTCAGATTTGGACCTCCAGAACTGTGAGCCAAAATAAACCTTTTTGAAATCAGTTAGCCTACCTCAGGTATTTCATCATCATTACAGAGAATGTGCTAATACATTGGTCCTTTTTGAAAATGTTTGCTGTTCCCTGATGTTTCCATTCGGTATGCTTCTTCTGGACCCTTAATCTAATTTTCTGGACTCTTAATCTAATCGCAGCCTGGAGTGAAAAGAAGAAAGGGAGATAATGGCACTCCCAACCACTCTCAGTTATAATAGTCCACTAATAAAGTCCCAACCATCTGGATAGGAAAACTTTACATATGTCAAAAAAATGACAGAATATGAAACATGGGTAACAAATGAACTCAGCTAAACTAATTATGACTCAATTCATCAGTGAGGCACTGAAAACATGGTAGATTTTTTTCAAGATGCGAATAAAACCTATAAAACTCATGATTACTGAAAAAATAAAATCTCATTTCAATGAAGTTGTAGGGATTAACAGATTGCTTGAGTGTCCCCACACTGAAAATACAAAGCACTGTCAGAAATCAAAAATATTTGTTGAAGAGTAAATGAAAGAATGTATGAAGGCAGAAAGATGGGAGGCGGGCAGGGCATGCTAAACCAACACAGAAATCAAAAGGGAAAAGAATTTAGGAGGTGAAACTCTACTCCTAGGACCTTCCTTTTCTGGGGGATGGTGGAATGCTGGTAAACTGCGAATTAGCTGGAAGGGCATGTTGGTGTGAATAGGAAGACGTAATAACAAGCCCCAATATTCCAAGAACATTAATATTTCAGAGTTTCTGAAGTTTGCCTCCCAGGCAATAGTCTACTTCTGTGTGCTGCTTCTAATTTTCCACTTTTTCTCTTCTTTATCTTCCTTCAGTGAAGCAATTTGTTCACCATTTTCTGCAAGTGAAATGACAGAATGCAATACATAGGCACACTTGAAAAACATTCCTCCCTAGTTTTAGGATTTAGATAGTTAGGATCCTGGGTTAGCATTCTCCTCCTGCAAAGTAGAATCATGGTAAGGGTTGGGCACATCATATTTACTGAAAAAAATACATTGTGAATATTAATTGATATTGTTACTATTTTATTATTGTCCTTAGCAAATCTGTTGCCTACTTTAATAACTGATATTTACTAATAGATTTATTTATTGTTCAATTATTTTCCTAGAGAAACTTTAAATACTTTGACAGAATCTATGTTTTGAAAAAAAATAGCTTAGGCTTATTTGCAGAGACCTCACCATGTACTTTAAGATAGGTGGCCCAGATGCCTGTGTGAGGCAGAATAGACTGGAACCTTTACCACCTCTATGTTTTACAAGGTTTTCCTCAAATGTATCTTCTTTCCCCCTTTCTAATCTATTGTCTTCCTTTCCCTAAATCCTCTCCTCTTTCTGTTTATCTCCTTAGTGAAGGGATGTTGTAATTCATCTTTCCATTCTACATGTAGTTGCTCAATAAACATTTGATATAATGAACGCTTTTGCTCATCTCTTTTTGGTTCTTCTCTTTCCTCAACTTTTCCCTTTGTATTAAGAGGGAATACCTACATCTTCTAAGCCACAGCCCTAAACCCTTACTATGATTCTACTTTGCAGGAGAAGAATGCTAACCCAGGATCCTAGCTATCTACTCTAACCTTTTCGTCACACCAAACTTCTCCCTACTAGAATCAAACTTTCCTATCTTCTAGCCACAATCCAACATTTCCCAGTGTAAGCTCTACAGAACAGTAATGAGATATTAATTTATTTAAAGTAAAAAAAAATTCATGGTTAAGTTAGTTTGAGAAATACCTACTAAAACTCTTGAATAGATTCTTAGAGTGAAATTTTTCAAAGCTTTTAATATGCCAATGAGCAGTGAAAATCTTCAAAAGCAAGCATAAAATTCAATACTTTTTAGATATTTTATCAAAGAATTTCTCTCCCTCCTCTCCCGACATCAAATACACTTTGCAAAACAGCTCTTGCCCACTTAGGAAAATCTTTGTCAGACAGTGCTCCTCACTTACGACACAGGCATCTGTTGGACCACGTTCATCCCCTGTTGGGAGAGGGACTGTTATTGATATTTGAGAAGGGAACTGATCTGTATTGATGATTTCTTCTGCTGCAGACACTATGCTACTTAAGGACTTTGATAATATTGATAAGAAGAATTAAAGCAATAAAAACATCCGCTGAGGGGCTGGGGATGTGGCTCAAGCGGTAGCATGCTCGCCTGGCATGCGCAGGGCACTGGGTTCGATCCTCAGCACCACATAAAAATAAAAAAATAAAGATGTTGTGACCACTGGAAAAAAAAATCCACTGATACGTTTTATCTCATTTAATATAGTCTCCCATTAAAACCACGAGGCTGGTGCAGTTCTCTTCATTTTATAGATGGCAAAATTGTGGCTCAGTTGGTTGACCTGGCCTCAGCCAACTAGCTAATGAGTACCAGACCCAGAATTACAGGCCATGTCTGAAACTGATGCCAGACCTGTTCCTTTCCACTGGCTACCTGGGTAATTGTGGAGCCATCAGCCAAACTGTCTCATAAGTAATCATAGAAATGGGCACAAACCCACTGAGAAAAAAAGACTTAGACAAATTGTAAAAAGGGAGTTAGTAGAACTGTATAAGACCACTGTGGTTGTAGAGTTAACATACTGCACCATTGGAAGGGGAGCAAGGTGATTGGCACTTCCTAAAATAGGGCATGGTTCCATGTTAGCAGCTGTCTGTGCCAATGATGGAACAGATAGAAATTAGAAAAGGTAGTCAAGTATCACTGTCTTTTGAGTTTTCAGATGCAAATATCAATTTTGAGCAAGAACTCAAGTCAAAATGATAATCAGCTTTAGAAAAATATTTGCACATGAAAACTCACTAGACAAAATATTAGGAACTAGTGTAGCATGGGCAAGGGAGAGCTGATCCTTCCAGATATGGGACATCACTTTGTCAAATTCATAATGATGATTTTCCTCAGATCAGTGGATTCCCTCTCTTCCTTTGTTTTTCCCCTTTATTTTTTGTATCATCTTTGTCTTTTCTAAATATTTCTGTTGAGCTGCTGTGCTCCCCCACAGTTGGCTGAGCCAGACCTGACCAGAGAAGGAGAGGTTATCAGTAGCCTCAATGCAGCAGCTGTTACAGTCTGAAAGTCATCCTTTGACCTTTCGCCCAGAGTGCAATGTGCTGGAGATGTAGCTCTGAATCACAGCCCTTCCCTTCTGCCACACTGGCCCAGGCACAAAAGGGGATTCCCTGCCCAACACATGAACTCCTTTCTGCAACTGGCATTCTGCTCTAAAAACCAGATTCCTTGTGAGAACTTATCCCTAGGGAGCCCTTGCCTAACTTCTGCCTGGAACTGGAATATGATATGCATACCTTTCATTATTGGCCAAGATTTCCATTGTGCATAGTGAAAAGCATAGAAGCTTTGGTATCAGACACTCCCAGACACAAATTCCAGCCTTATCAATTACTAACTGTAAAACCTCAGGCAATCTATGAAAAGGGAACAGTAAGGACTTCTTCACATGAGATCATCTACAAAGGGCTTTGATTAGTTCTCTCTTCCCTCTCTGAGAAGAATTTGGGGTAGATATTGGTTAGGATTTTTTTCAGTTGCTGGGAATGGTTACTCAACTGAAAGTTATTGAAACAGTGAGGATATTTACGGGTTTATATAAAATAAAGTCCAGAGGCAGGAAAGCATCAAGTCCTGTTTATCCTATCTAATTATGTCATAAACAAGCAAGGTTTCTTCTGTCTCTCTGCATAACCATCCACAAAGAAGAGCTCATCCTCAAGAAAATTCTCTACTTGGTAGTATGGTGGCTTTGAGGAACAATTGGTGTTATATGCTTCTCTATTTACTTTTAGAGGCAAGGAGAGTATTTCTTCCTAATCTTTGGAACTGAAGTTCTTCTTGTTCATTGCTTGAACCAATTTAAGTCATATGTTCTTACATGGATAACTTTTATGGAGAGATGCTAGGTGCTAATTGGCCTAAGTTCCTGAACTACCATGAGTCAATGAACTACTATAATTGACTAAGAACCATAAGGGCCATTTCTAATTCTATCGAAAGTACCCAGTGAGGAAGGGGTGGGGTGAATGTTGAAGATAAGACTCTATAGGGTGAAAAAGCCTGAACACTTGTTCACATTCCTACTCTACAAGTACCAGTGGAGTTATCTTTTCTGAACTTCATTTTATCCATATGAAAATGACGTACAAAAATAGTACCTGTCTCATTGGCTAGTTTTGAGGATTCAGGGAAATAAAATCTGTGAAACCCTTAGCATGGAGCCTAGAAAATGTCTACAAATTCTAATTTTTACTATTTCACTATGTGCTTCGAAATGTGGTACCACTTCCCGCAAGATTTGGCTGTCATCTAATTCCTGGATTCCTATCATGGACCCCTTTGCACCAGAGTGGCTAAATCACTATTTATTTCATACCTTCTCTACCTTGTACCTGTGATTGTTCAGCTGCTCATAAAGGGTAGCCTGGATTTGTTCTTTCTCTACCTGCAACACTATCCTATCAAATCTCAACTATTGAAATATCAACTTGTTTAGTGCCTGAGTACTATGATTGATGTGGTGTGTCAGCTTGGCTAAATTAAGGGACACCCAGATAGCTGATAATGCATTAATTATTCTCAGAGTTTCAGTAAGGCATGAGTCCCTACTGAAAATATGCTAACCAATATCCAACCAGATGGGATAAGCCCATCCCTTTTCAGCTGCAAGAGGTACCCAAGTGTTTTGACATTTGATTAGAATGATTGAGCTTCCTCAGGTGTGTTTGTGATGTGTTTCTAGAGGAGATTGGCATGTGAGTCAGTGGACTGAGTGGGGAAGGTCTGTGCTCAGTATAAGCAGGGAACATCTAATCAGCTGGTGGCCCGGCTGGATCAAAAGGTGGAAAAAGGATGATTTCTTACTGTCTCTTCCAGAGTCAGGGTGTCCTACTCTTCCTGACTCTGAATATTGGAACTCCATATTTTCTGGCCTTTGAACTCTGGGACTTGTATCCATGGAACCCCTGAATTCTTAGGCCTTCAGATTGAAAGTTATGCCCCTGGCTTTCTTCTCTACCTTGCAGAAGCATTGACTGAGCAAGCACTGAGCCATGCTACCAGCTCCCTGGTTCTGTAGCTTCCTGGCAGCCTAAGGTAGCACTTCTCAGCCTTCACAATGAACTGAGTTAATTCCCTCCTCATGTATCCCTATAGATCCGGTGAGTTCTCTCTCTCTCTGGAGAACCCTGCTGGAAACAAAGAGCAAACTATCTTGATAATTTTCCTGGTAACCAAGAAATGATGAATAACAAGTATTAGCCACTGTCTGTTTATGCCAACAGTGAATTTTAAAATGTCTTCTATGGTGTTAACTGCTAAGATGCCTACTACAAGAATTGAATATTTGTATTTGAGCTCCACATTGGAACTAGGTCTGCTTTATTACTATGCCAACCAATATCATTACTGCATTGCTTACAGTCTCATTTTGTCTTACAGATAGATACTATTCAATATTATACATCCTTAGATGTTTTAAAATTTCTATGGGTTTTACCGCTTTCTAAATAGGGGCTTTCCTTTTCTGCTATATCTTTGTTATCCAGAAATACTAAACATATTCTTTTTTACTTTTTCTATTTGCTTTCTTTGATGGCATTCAAATTTTTTAAAATTTATCCATTTACATCCTGAAAGGTGTAATGAATTCCATGGGTTTATTAAGTTCCCATACTTTGCTTTCTGATCCTTTCTTTCTCTTCCTCGCCCCTCACCATAAAAGCCTGGAAGTGACACACAACTGCAGCCCTTTGAAAAAGTGGACTGTGCTGTGGTGGCAATAGCGAAGGACAATCGCTCTTGGTTATTCAAACCTTTCCAAGAGGAAGTTGAAGGCCAGTCTGTCATAGAAGCCCAGGAAGACCCAAAGGCTACAGTGGCAGTTTCAAACTGGCATATGGTTAGTAGTAAAGGTTGAAAACAGATGGTGACTGGAGTTCGAAGCAAATATTTTCATTTTCCAAACAGCAGACACAGCGCCAGGCCCCTAATGGCAGCGTATCACATTTCAGTGAGAGAAACCTGAGCTCCATGGTAGGCTTTGGCTTCACCCTCAGAGAGGAGCAACATGTTCCACAAAGGCAGCATTTGGGAGGAAGGCCCCCTCTTCCCCAGGCCATGAGCACAGATGTGCTCTGCTGGCTGCGACCCTGCTGGCTGGGACACAGGTCTGAGAGGAAAACAACATCCAAAAGCTAGGCCCTGCCTTTGGCCACAGATTATAGCCATAAGTGATACCAGACGAATATTAAAAAGAAAATGCCTCATCCACAGAAATGTGCTTTAAGGATGACTCATCTTACTTGTGTATATATGAAAGAAAAAGGTTGAGATCTGGGCGACAGCTATTGTTGAATTAGGGGACCACCTCAGCACTGATCTTAGTGTATTGGTCTTAATTCTTGCAACTCACTCACAACTGTGAGTAGCTACCCCCAGGAGGCAGAGGGGGCCGGGAGCCCAGCGCTGGTTGAGGAGAATCCCAGCTGTGTGCTTGGATAAAGAGGGACTTGACTGCAGTTAGGGCAGTTGGACCTGTGCAATTGGATGTGCACAGGTGTGGGACACACTTCTCAAAAGGGAGCAGGGTAGAGAATAGAGCACGCTCGGGAGGAATCCCTGTGGCCCTTTCCCTTGGCTTTCTTTAAGGCTGTGCTGCTGGGATGCTTCTTTCTCCATGCTGATTGGAATCTATCAACATTCTTGGTCCTTGGCATTTCTCCCCCCAGGGTCTTTGCCTAAAGGATTTTGCAGCTTATTTTTCTCCTTCCTGATTGCACATGGTAGCCCCTCTTCAGCACACATGTGCACCAGGGCTCAGCTTCCGTGACTCCTGCCCTCCAGCCACTGCTGAAGAGATGAACCTCTGGGAGGGAGCAAAAGGATTAAAGGGACAAGCCTCTGAAGTTTGTATGAATTGGAGCACTTGGGGAGCAGAGCTTGATTGACATTGGAGCTTTCTCACTGACATATTCTGGATCCTGTTGGGAACTTCCGCTGCCCTCTTTATTCTCAAGGTAGCTATTTCAGAAAGTTAATTAACCTGACTCTGATATTTCACTCTTCTGGAGCTCAAGATAGGCCTGGAATTTGCCCTTTAAAAATGACCCATACCTTGGGAAATGTGGCAGACAAATTTTCATCCTTTTTTGTTTGTTTGTTTTAATGAGCTCATTTTTTTCTTTCACTCACTTGATAGTTACTGATTTCACTCCCTTTCTTTAGATTCATTAGTGTATATATTTATTAATTGCCCATATGTGCAAATTATTGCATTAGGCACTTAGAAAAACACAAAGAAGTAGAAAACTCAGTCTTTGACCTTAATGAATTTGCAGTCTCATTGGGATTATGAGACTTTAAATGACTGATTGACATACTTCAGAATATTTAGATCTTAATGGCTGAAACAGGTGGTTATATGCTATGAGAATTTCAGCACATATTTTTCTTTCTGTCATCTTGGTCTTTGGAGTTAGACAGCATGGGTCTGAATCCTGCATTCACTGATATTAACTGTGAGACCTTGGACAAATTGCTTGCCCTTTCCGTGCCTCAGTTTGTTCATCTGCAAAAAGAAAACTTCTCAGGAGTTGAGCAGATTAAAAAGCCTTATTAAAAGCATTTAATGCTATGCCTGGCACATAATGAGTGCTCAATACAAATCATTATCATTATTAACTAGCTGGTGATGTAATTTACCCCTCAATGCTGTGAACAGGCAGATGAGGGAAAGCTGCAGGTCAGAGTGTTTATTTTTCAGAGTATGTGATGACATCGTGTGCGATGTATCTAAGACAGTATTCAAGCCCACAAATCCCTTATTTTTCCACTTCTATTCATTGATCACTAAAATAGATATGAGGCTAGGGATATGATGCATGGTTGACCCAAGGCTTTGCCTAATGAAGTCACCCAGACCCAGGACAGCTAAGCATAAGGACAGAGTGGTGGGGGAGGTGCATCCTGCTCAACAGAGAAAAGATATTCCAGGAAATCAACACCAATCCCAGGTACATGGAGGGACAAAGGAAGAAAAGAAACATAGAAGGATCCCTAGACCTTATTTCTAACCTGTTGCCATGTTATATTTTCTTTCTTTAATTCAGTAGGAAAGCTCTCCAGGGAGTACAGATACCCCAGGGATAGGGTCTGTGAGCACACAGATTACAAACGCTGATATGTGTATAAATGAACACTTGCCAAGCCTGTGTTTTTAAAACCTCCTTCAAACTCACCACCCACCCATGTCTAGTTCAGAGCTGGGCTTGGTGACGGATGGCTCCATGAGAAGATTTCAGTTTGTCTGCAACGAGTGTTGTTCTGGTGAGTTTGGGGAACACTTTGCTTCCTCTCTCACCACCTGTGGTTAGGTCACTTGCTTGCCACAGGAAACATCAGCTGCAGGTGGGAAGGTGGGGTCTGTGAAACTGACTATGATGGAGCTTTGTGTATTTCTCCCTTTAAAGCTGCTGTGGAAGAGTTTATGCTGGAGGCTCTGCAACCCTGTCGTTAGTTTAAAATATGTTTCAGCCTGTGAAATTGTTTCCAGGCTACATACAGGGTTTTCCCCAATTCTTCCCAGACTGTGAGCCCCAAAGGAAGGCCAACAAAGGACAGAGCTCAGATCATGCTCCCTGCCTGTTTCCACGATGTGCTTTCTCCCTGACTTACACAGTTCACTTGGACCTGTGCTAATTGTCCTACTGCTTTATTAGCATTCACCCGAAGGCTTCTCACCTAGAGGCTACAGGGCATTTGTTACCAACATCATGAGCATCTCCCATTCAGGTGTTTAATACAATTTCCAAATGAACTTCTAGCTAGAAATATAGAGATTCGAGAACAAGACCAGAAGATGTTTATATATCTTTAAACTAGTGAAACAATAACAACCCCACTACCCACGGGGGCGGGAGGTGTTGTATATGTGTGTGCACCCACAGAATTGCACCAATCTCATATGAGTAGCACAATTATATTACATGGCATGCAGGGGCTAATGGTATTATGTGGTTAACTACTAATAATGTGAATCATAGCACAACTTTTGTAATCCTGATTTTGTATTCTTTTCTATTTTAAATACAGGATGCTTGCAGCCTCAGAAATTGAGAGTGATCTAAGACCTCTCTTTTTATGTTAAAGAGGCTTCAATAGGCCCCCAAAGCTGCCACGAGTTTTAATTGTGCTGATTAAAACCAGAGTACCATGTACTGATACTACAGGTGTAAGGGTATTTATTATCACAACAAGAAAAATCTGAAGAAACTGGAACCATGTTAGAAAACCAAGAAGTCATGTTAATGTAAGTATAGATGTTTAGAAATTTCTTCTGCAAGTGCAGCTTATTCTATGACACCCAGGAGAGGGCTCTTCATCCTTTGTCTCAGCATTGGCAGGTCATTTTGAATCTTCACAATCATGTAATTTTACATTCATTCATTCTGCATTTTATAATGCCGGCTAAGCACCAGACACAATGGATGTAAAAGCAACGTGTACATTGTTTGGTCCTATTAGATGCAAATATCATTATTCAGAATTTGGTACTGGATTACATCCAATGATGTAGCTATGGTGTGGAGTCCTTTGTGCATAGATGAAAAATCCCAAGAGACTAGATCTGGCAGGAAGGAGCAATCTGTGACGCCTAGGTCTTCTGACATAAGACTAACCAGAACACTAACAGGAAAAGCTGTTTAAAAACAGCCTGGAGTTGTGGACTGTAGTGTTTGCCCCTTAGGTGCAGGAGACTGAGCCTTTGGCTCTGAGAGGTGTTTCGGAAATATTTGAATTGGCCTGAATTCCCACATGGGAGGCAGGACCACGCGCCCTTGATGCGAACTGTTTGTTGTGGTTGCAGTTGCCAACGCGGCTTCTCTAGCTTTCAAAGTCATGTTAGCAGATCTTACTCTCCCCTCCTGTGTGTGCTAAAAGGAAAGGGCAGCCTCAGCAGTGAAGAGGTTGAATGAGAGCCTGTGTGTCTGGGAGTGCCGAGAACAGAGGGAGGGCTCTGACAGGCCTCCCTGATAGAGGTTCCTTCTTCCTTTCCAGACAAGAGATAAAATGCCTCCTAAGAAAACAATAGATCAGCCATCATGTCTGCCAAGATGCCTTCTACCAAGGGAGGAAGTTCCCTCTGTTCAGGGGAAGTCAATTTTGGAAAAAGATTCTGACCCCAGTTGTTGCCTAGGCCAGTTCCTAATTTCAACCTGCAGTGGAGCAGACCTGTGAGCCTCCCCAGGTATCAGTGAGCAGAACCCCACCTCAGAAAAGTAGAGATCTGAGCCACAGCCCTCTGAAGTAATCAGTAAGATTACATGTTCTGGAAAAAGGTGCATTGAGCCTATGAATAAGAAATAATAGTTACATACTTGGAGAACTAAAAGAGAAGGCGATTGGCACATTTACCCTGTTATAGACTTAGTAACTTCTAGATAATCTAATTTAATTTCTTCTCTCATTTGTTCTGCCTGCCTTCCCCGGGTCTTCTCACTGAAGAGTGAACTGGGGTCTTCTGAAAATTACAGTTAGAGAATCTAACCACTGTCCTCATGGAAGACAATACCTTTCCAGAAAGTTTCTCAGAAGCTAAAGCAAGTGGTTTTGAGACTCTACGTCAATACCATTCTCTTCTCCAGCCCCCATCTTTAACCTCCAAATTTCTAGAGCAGTGGTTTTTTCAAACAGTGATCAAACAATAACCATGATAATAGAAGAAGCAAATGATAATGACTCAGGGCTGAAAGAAGCCTTAGTGCTAGAGCATTTTCCACCTGCAGAACAACTTCAGCTTTGATGCCTGTAGGATGCTATCTTGGAGCAGGACATTAAAAAAAATTTTTTTATATGATGTACAATTACTAATAATGTAACTCGAGAATGAGACACTAGAATATGTATCCAGTCTCTGTTAACCATCCTACAGAGAAACAGAACACTGAATTCCAGTACTGAATGTATCATTTAGAGTGCTACATCAGCTCTTCAAAGAAAAGCATAATTTTGAGGGCTGCGGCAGAAGCAGTGAAAATAACAGTTCACGTGGAACTGTTTGATCGCTGTCTTGGTTCAAATGGGTCATTCTGCTCATTTTGTTCTTGCTGTTGTTTTCCTTACTCTGCCAGGCTGATGGTCAGCTGCCCCTGTGTGTGCTTGAAAGGGCTATTAATTCACTCATTTGCACTTTGGTGTCTGTGGCATGCCTCTCCTGGTCCAAAGGGCCAGGGCTATGACCTGAAGCCACTTATGTTCTGCACAATCCTATTGCACAGGGCAGTACCATTGCCAAGTTTAACACAGCTCTTAAAACAAAAGAAAAGAACAACTATATTCCTTTCTCTTGTGAGCAGGAGAACAGATCAGGTTAAATAGTCACCAGGTTTTTAGATAAGGTTTGTTAGGGGGAGGAGGGAATCTTTTTATCTTTGGTGGTAGGCGTGAGCGTGATCTTTTTTTTTTTAATCTTTATCTTATTTATTTATTTATTTATTATTTATTTTTATGTGGTGCTGAGGCTCAAACCCAGTGCCTTGCATGTGCTAGGCAAGCACTCTACTGCTGAGCCACACAACCCCAGCCCCGGTAGGTGTGATCTTAACAAAGAATCAAAGGAAGATGTTTCTAGGACTTGGGTAGGACCAAAGCAAGGCAATTTCTGTTGCCATGGGTACAGACCCAAGAGTTTCCAAAAGCCCAAGGTAGCTGTGGAGCACTGGGACCTAAGCTGTAGAGGTTGTTCTCACTGTCCTGGGTTACCCTGCTCTACTTTTCTCTTTGGCTGTGGACTCCTGGGTTTTGACAGTATCAAGCCACTCCCTCTCAGGAGTAGAGTGGCCAGAGAAACCAAAAACATCCATTCTCTGCATAAGCTTAGTGTTTTCTGCATTTAAGGTTTCACCCAGCTTTTTATAGATTGAATCATGCAACCTCACTCAAATTCTGCTAGAACTTTTAGGTGGTAGCAGAGATTCTGATGTGATTCTGGAGGTTGTATCTAGGCATCTGTATTTTTAAAACATTCTCAGTTGACCCTAACATTTGTGTTTGGAGTGAAGCCAGCAAGTGAGCTGGATTGGAATCTAGACGGCTGGTCTGGGGCTCTTTACTTTCCACTTTCCATTCTGTACTCTTGCCCATTTTGTGTTGCCAGCACACTCTCTCCCCTGCTACCCCCCTTTAGTCATCCCAATTCTTCGCAAAATTCTACTGGACAACTTTTAGCAGGGCCACTGTAAAGGCTAGAAATCCCTCTCAGCAACTAGAAAAATACAGATGGCAGAGGGTGGATCGTTCACCTGAGCTAATGGCCTTCAGGTGACCTGGTGTTCCTCTTCTGGCCCAGCCAAACAAGAGTGGCCCTTCCACAGGACTTCCATTTCACTTGGTGCCATCAGGCAAATCACTGTATTTAAGAATATTATGAGGCATGTGCCTACTCAAACATTGTGTGAATTTCAGTCTGAATGCCTCTGTGGAATGCAGCATTCACACTGGGTATCAAAATTGACAAGAGAACTGTCTGTCCACAACCTGATGCTCAGTCTGGGTGTACAGGGAAAATGTTCAGAGAGTGCAGTCTGCTTGCTGTTTTGAGACAGATTCTCTCTGGATTGCCCAGGTTGGCTTTGAACTTCTGACCTCAAGCCATCCTGCCTTAGCATCCTGAGTAGCCTGGACTACAGGTGTGCACCCTGTGTGCCCAGCAAGAATGTGTTTTGCCAGTTAGATGAGCACTCACAGATATTACAGGAAGTGGAACTTGTTAAAGTTGGGGGCTAGTGGCCAGAACGTTGGTGGTTTAATGTCCAGGAAGTAGGCACTAGGTCACATATGGAGGCTCAGGGTCGTATGAGAGATCCTGCAGATCAGAACATCTGTGATCTGTACCCAGAGCTTCCGAGGCCTTTGCCTCACCCCAGTGCCATGAATGGCCGTCTCCAACCCTCTGTCGGCTCTGCTCCATTTGTGCGCTCTGTCAGAGATAATGAAATCAGACAGGTCCACAGAGACTTCTTTTCCCTTCTCACAAATTTTTAATAAAACTCTTTGAACAACAGAGCTGGGCATCTCTGAAGCCTGAAATTAAAACGATAAGATGGGAGATTACTCACTTGTCAGTCTGCACCAAACTGCACCACCAATACAAATTCCAGGGGAGTTTTTCTAAATCTGCCGACAATGTGAGGCTCTCCATCTGGAGCCTTTTCTTTTTATTTTTGTATGAAGAAAACCCAGCACCAAGGAAGAGAGACGCTTCATTCTCTGCCACTAGCAACATGAGGATCAGCTCTGAAACAGGTTTCAAGAAAAAAGAAATGTAATTTTTGGAGAGAATTGCTTTTGAATAAATAAGTGTCTTTGATGCAGAGTTCCTGAGACAAAATGTAATCACAGCTGTTTGGCCCATCCCACTCATCCATCTGCCTTTCAGGAGGAATCACCACTGCAGGTTTCTGGCCTTGCCGGGTTCCCCTGCTTGTGTGACTCTTGAAGCTCACAAAGCCTGACTCTGGTGCATCTGCATACAGCACGCCTGGCCCCGGGAACTGCATTTTAGAGGGCAAGATCAACGGTTCACAAGCACACATATACAATGGGTAGTGCCACATGCCTTGAGATAAAAATAAAGCAGGTCGCAGGACAGTGGGTTGTGGCAGAGTGAGGAGCATGGAGGAGGTATCCAGGATGGTTGTTCAGAAGTCTCGTCCAGGTAGCAAATTAAATGTTGATGTAGGCTGGACCTTGTTTCAAAGCAAAAATATTGGCATTCATTAATCATTCTGCAAGTAAAATTATTCCATTGTCCAAAAAAGAGAATTTGTTTAGCCCGGGTTGATCCTGAAGAATTAGTAGCTGTCTCCTTTTTCCCCTCTCCAATCCTTTGAACTCTACCTTTCCCTGCTTTCTTCTCTCTGTTTTTTTCTTGATTATCACATAACCTGGGAGAAAAACAAATGCAAGATTTTTATAAATGGTTATAAATGGTTCTTTGGGGAATATTGCTAGAAACATAAGCTCTCTTAACACCAAATGTAAAATTTGCTACAATTTCCTCTGCTGTTTCATCCCTTCTTTGGGGGTTCCTAGTAATGGAAATCTTATCGTGGATATCTTCAGGGTCTGGCCCTGACCTTCCAGAATAAGTATATAAAGAACATGAGCTCCTGTTGAAAATGACTCAAGAAAACAATGAACTGCCAATCTGAGTTCTGTCTGAATATGACATTATTTTCCACATTAAGGGATTGAATCTAAATTAGGGACCATTGCACACTGTGGCCTTTTGACTTAGAATAGAG